ACCTCACCAGCATACAAATGCAAGACAATATTGAAAACAGCGATACTGAATGTTAGAGTCATCCACCTTACACTTTGGATTTATATCCATATGAATATGCTTGTTTCTATCAATTAAGAAGGCAAGTAGTCATCTTAATGTCAATTCTTTAAACACATACAGAAATTCAAGACTAGACTCAAAATTAGAGATTAGGTCTGTTAGAAAATGCTGCTACAACAATGCAAATACTATATTGATGTAAAAGAGAACTGTCTCAAACCGAAATACCCAGAACATTAAAATAACTTCCTCAAAATATAAGTAAAGTAGTAGCTTTAAGTAGATAATAAAATTTAAAATAATATAGGAAATAGTTACTCAGTCTGTGCAAACAGTGCACATGTACAAACATTTGCAGCATAGTGCACAGACAGAAAAATAATTGGTTTAATTAGTTTAACTGGTTTAATCGTTAAAGAATTTCAATGTTTGTATCATTCAGCAAGTCAGAAAATATTCTCCTAAAATAAACTCTTTTAATAAATCAAAATATATACATAGCGTTAGGATACCATAAATCTCAGCAATGAATACAGTGTGTACACCGACTCATAAAAAACAGAAGACAAAAGTTCTATTTTTGCAGTCACGCAGAGATGAGATTCTTATTGCTCATGCGTGAGGAAGAAAACTCGAGGCGCTGAAGAAATGGGGGGGGGGGAGGTAGACTCACACCATCTCCCTTCCTGATTTAAAAAAAAAAAAAAAAATGAGCTAAAAATCTGAAAAAGAGGAGGGGGGAAATTAGTCTTGCATCAATCCTTTGGGAAAGTGGGCACAACATCCTGAACGAGTTTGGTAATTTGTAACACTTCGGGTAATTTCAGCACTTCTTTTAGGTGGTTGTTCATTTGCTGAATAGACTGGTTGCTGTGATGAGGCTTTATCCACATCAGTTAAACTAGAAGGTTCAGATACATTGTCTGGGACTAAATACGCAGACTTTTTAAGTAATCATGGAATTATTGTTAATTTGAAATCCAAAAAATTAAGTGACAGCATGACTAAAGTTGATTCAGATGGCAAGATATCATGGAATACTGTACCCAAAATTACAGTTTTGCAACCGTTACATGTATTTAATGATTTACTTAAAAAATATGATTCTCTGTTTCAAGATGTTTTAATAAGAATACTCTTGGTATTACACACATAATCGAAACTAAATGATCTCCAGTAGTAACTAAGGCTAGGTGCTTAGCGCCTGACAAATTGGCTGCCGCAAAAGTAGAATTCACTTATTTAGTGCAAAAAAGCATTCATAGCCCTTCTAAAAGCTGCTGGAGTAGTCCTCTACACATGGTAAAAAAACCGGATGGGTTTTGGCAGCCTTGCGGGGACTACCGTAAATTACATTCAATCGTTGTTCCAGATAATTATCCAATTAGACATCTACATGATTTTACATCTAATTTGAGAAATAAAACTGTTTTTTCAACGTTAGATCTCAAGAAGACATAGCACCAGGTACCAATGAATAAAGAGGGCATACCAAAAGGTGTGGGGCTACCTTCCCACCCCCACAGCCTCCAGTATTTTTTAACATCATGAAATAGATAGCTCATAACATTCATGTTTGTATTATAAAAGCACTCTTTTGAATTAAGAATTACCAAAAACATTTTTTTAAATATGTCATATAACAATTTAATGCTCCCAAGAGTTTTCCTTCTTGATCAGTCATGAACCTTCACTCAGAAATGTCATGATGTCACCTACCATCTTTCAAGGCTGAGCAATTTTTTTAACATAGCATTATATTCCTCCATACTGGTCTGATGGGAAAGCAAAGATTAAGATGCTTTTTGAGGTGTGTGTGAATGCTTATATCTTTGAAACTACAAATGTCACAATCAATCTAAATACATCATTAGATAGATGAAAGAGAACATTAGCAAAGAATAAAAAATTTTTAAATTGGACAAAGGGTATATGCATACTAACACATCAAAAATAGTGAAATTTTGCTGATGTCAAAGCTCCGTGCACATGCACGACCGCGTGTGAGTGGCAAGGTCATCTAGTAGACAGTCAGTGTGACAAAACAAGGCCTTGGTACTGGGATTGTGATGTCACTAGTAGCAGGTAAAGGAAAGAATGCACTCGCACCTAATTAATGCTGCATAAATCAGGAATGAGACTGCTCTGGTTGTTAAAACTCCTATTACCCCAATATCGACATGAATAGTATATTAATTCAGCGTGTTTCCTTTTATATAGTCAAATTTAAGACATTTAATGAAGTATTTCCTAATGAATTACTACAAATCCGTTTTTTAATTTTAGGTTGCTGTTAAATAATTAACATGTTATTACAAATACATGTACTTCATAAATACTATAGCATAGCAAATGTTACATAATTCATAAAAAATTATATTGAAACAACTTGACACATTTCTTTCCATTCAGATATTTTTTATTCAAAACATTACAGTTTTTTAGCATCATACGGCCATCTGTGATCTCTGATGCCCTTCTTCAGAGAACAGAGGAAGCAATTCGTGCGAATAGACATCTCAAATTGAAATAATTGCATCAGATCACACCGGAAGTGTCAATGACAACTCTTTATGAAATTTTGACTGTCAAGCTAGTGTACAGGAAATTGTGTGCGCGCTGGGTTCCAACAGGCGGCAAACTTCTATGACTGTGGGATACAAAAGCTTGTGCACTGACTTAACAAATGTTTGGATAACAATGGTGATTATGTCGAAAAATAATAAATAATCCAGTTAATAAGATATAACTGACATTTTCTAAATAAAGTTTTTTTTTAAGGAATGCGAGCCATTGTATCTTTACTTTTCGAAATGCCCTCATAAATAGTAACTAGACTTAATTGGATATAATTTTTGCAATTTTGAACTTTGAGTACTACCTCCAAAAAATCATTACATTAGATCAAACAAGAATAACACCTAATCATAAAAAAACATACTACAAAACTATTTTTAAAAATTTTAGGTGTTTCAGTACCATTCAGAATCTGATTTGCTTCCAAAAAATCATATGCATAGGGACAAAACAATATAAAATAGTGAAGAAAGTATAGATATGTGATAGATAAAGAATACCTTCCTTTTTACAAATAAGATTTAATTTAAAATACAATTACATGCTGAACAAATATTAATTCAGAAGTCAAACAACAAAAATTAGCATTATATTTTCAAATTTTACATAAAATGCAAAAATGAGTACATTTTTGCATTTTTGCAGCTGAGGATGATGGTTCGGTTAAACTATCGAAACTAGTCCTGTAAAAATTTGAAAAGATAACGCTGATTTTTGTTGTTTGACTTCTGAATTAAAGATTTAATTTATTGTATAATGAATACAGAAACAGATGCTTCTATAAAATTTTACAATGTTTTCCTTAGATGTATTTAACAATGCATCTAAAATTTCATTAAAACTATTTACATCATTTATTACATTAGGACAGTTGTTTACGTATTATTTTTAATTCTGAGTTGCCAATAAGAACACTACACTTTTTTATATATAAGTGTGTTCTTATATTATTATACATGTATAACTATATTTATAATAATATAAAATCTGAGTGCCAATAACAGTACACTTATATATATATATATATATTTATATATTATTCTTATATTATTATTCATATATATAACTGCATAAAATATAAAATCTAGGGATTTTTATATTATTATGTATAGTTTTATGTTACAATACTACAGAAGCTTCAATATTTGATACAAAGTGATTATCAATAATGAAAAAAAAACTTTAGCTTCTTTGAAAATAATTGCCCAAGTGTTAGGGAGCATCTTAGGTTTTACCAACATTAGAAATTGAGTAAAAATATTTTTTTCTGACTATGAATTGTTTTACTTGTAAGACAAGTGCAAAATGTTTCTATCAATTCTGTCTCTGCTCTATCTACACTTTCTCTAGAAGCTGAGTGGCCGAGCGATTAAAGTCACTGAACACTGGTAGTTTGGTCTGAGGCTCGAATCCCGCAAATGGGCGTTTTCATGATTTTCCCATGTGTAACATGTATACAAGCCAGTTTCCCTAATAAAGTCCTCCACAAAGGCATATCTCCCCTTAGGCAGATAGCCCTCGAGGCTTTGCCATAATCACATAAGTCAAACCATTCTCTAGAAGCTGAGGATTTACTTGATAAATATTTCAAGCAGTTATGAAAGTAAAACATCTCTTTGAAACCTTGGACAAGCCAAATGAGAGTGTCAGAATGTATCAAATTGTACGTGGGTTCTCAGCAAATCTCAATTTATAGTCAAAAAGATAATTTTAAATTAATCTAAGAACTCTACATATGCCTAGTAGCTGCCCAGACTTGCATACATTCTTTTGTTCTTTTAACCATTTCTATGTTAAACAAATGATAGAATGAATTTAAGTTTGAAAAATATTTGCTCTTTGTATATAAAAAAGAATTCTAACAATCAATTATCACTCTTATTGGTTACAAAAAGGTACAGGATTCAATAATGTAAATAAATAAATAAGAATAGAAAACATAAATAAATAAAAATAAGTGTGCAATACTAAAAAATGTGATATTTTAACAATACTAATACTTTTAACACATCTTATTTGATGGAAACCATGACAGAAATTAAAATAGTCAAGTAATGAAAGACAGTGGACAAAAGTTTATTGAAACACACCTTTTAACTTTCTGCAAGTAGTAAATTATTAGTTAACTTAATTTAAATAGAAAAGGAAAAAAAAGATCCGTTTTAAAATTAACTGAAATCACACAGCATTATTACTTTGCAGCCAACAGTATACTGAAAACATTGCTTCACATCCTACATTACATAAAAGACTATTAAATAATTTTACAATGAATATTTATACTGTTTCTAGAATTATTATAGTAAACTTCTTTTAAGACTTCTTTAACTTTCTTTTATTACCCCCTTTATTTAGAAAAATTACTTACTAATTACACTTACCTAAATATAATTAATATCCAAAAGATTAAATAATAGAATGGCTTTAACTGTGGTAAGTTAAATCCTATTGCAAATGGCACAATGTGAACACCTAAAACAGTAGGCAAACCAACTGCAAAATTCCACAAAATGTTATGGCTCCCATAAAATGAACCAATGTCGAAGGTCCAGTTAAATAAAAAGAAATTATATGGTGTAAAAATCCAGTACCCATAACACCATCTGTCTGCAATCAGTAAACCAAGCAGAAGCACCAATCTGCAAAAATTTACAAGGAAAGTAAAGATAAATGATATAAGTTAAGAACGCATTTTAGATTTTTGGTTAATATATAACATTTGAAAAAAGAAACTTTAAATTGTAATCATAAAACATTGTATATACCATAGGTGGCCATCTTTTTGTACGAAAGTTCTACAAAATGCATCACGAATGACCTGTTGTCATGGGCATATTTTAAAAAGGACGAGAGTGTGTAAAGTACTTAATATGTTAAATTATTCTTATATAGGTATCTTAAATTATAAAACAAACAGTTTATGGACTAAAATTTAAATCCAAATAAATTTAAACAACCAAATTATTAGTTGACAATGTTGGCAAAAAATTGAAGAGAAAGGTGAAAAAAATACATTTTATTACTTTTAATTAATGAGAAGATTAAATTTACATGTCTTTAACCAGTGAATCATAATTAAGTATATATCCTGACAAAGACAAAATATGTGTATCCGTCAACAAAGAATGTTGTTTAATCTTTGTTAACTTCATGTAGGAAAATGCCGATTCACAGCGGTAAATAAATTCAAACCAAGAATAAATATTTTTCAACACAGAATTTATCAGCCTAATTTCAAGAGGTCTTAGTAACTAAATATTAGTAGTTCAACTTAAATTTCAGATTACAGAGATACCCCAGCTCTTTCTTTCTCTGTATATATTTAATATGGAAAAATGCATTGTAAAAACTTCAATTTATGAAGCAAAAATACTTTTAAAATTTATTCTTTAAAAATACTGTAAAGTTTTATTCATTGGTAATTCTCACCTTTACCTTAGCATATCACTTTGCAAATCACTTTAGTAGGAAATTAATAAGCAAAGAAATTAAATTTGTTTCTATGATTGATACATTGGTTAAAGTTACATGTAAACCTTTTCAAAAGCATAGACTTTATGCATATATCAATAAATTATGGATTATTTCTCCATCTAATTTACTTAAAATGTTTATTTCTGAAAATATTACCCTTTAACGTGTTTATTCCCAAACTAAATTTTAGTACCGAATAATGGTTTACATGCCAGTTAACTGTATTAAATTTTACAGCTTAGTTCAAGCACCATCACTACTATTATTAAAAAAAGATGTTAAATGAATAATAGCATTAATAGATATAATTTATAAAAAATGTAATTTGTATGCTTTATAATTATTTAATTTATAGTACTATTATAACAATATTTCCTCTAGTATTGTAGTTAATTTTGTAGTACTAGTACTATTATAAATATTTTGTAATACTAGTTTGTAATACTATTATTATACTATTTGCTCTAGCATTGTAGTTAATGAAAAATGTTTCAAATGCTAAATTTTTGTTTACTAATACACTGACTACCAATAAGTATTTGGATACCTATGCAAATGACGATATCTGTGGTCCTAAGGTATGTCACGGACTCCGCCGGTATAATATCGTGTAGGAAACAGCATCGGCTTTAGTCGCATGCAGTTCGGAGCTCTCTGATTTCGAGAAAGGTATAATTATCAGGTATCACAAATTTGGCCGATCCTTAAGGGACATATCTAGCGATTTGAAGTACCCAAAATCGACAATGGCCTATGTGATTAAGAAGTGTAAGGTGAGCGGTTATTGTCGGAATGTTCCCCAAGTCGGCAGACTAACGAAACTGGGAGATAGAGACCGACGAGTGCTGTCCAGAGAAATTCGGAAGAACCGCACCCAACCGATGGCCCTCATCCACGAGGAGTTTCAACAGGCATCCAGGAGTATTGTTTCAATGAATACCATCCGTAAGGAAGCAGATCTGCTTGGTTTTCATGATCGTGCTGCTGCCCATAAGCCTTTGATCACAAAGTCAAACCGCGCTGCTCGGTTAATGTGGTGCAAAGCACATCGAAATTGGACCGTAGATCAGTGGAAACGGGTTCTTTGGAGTGACGAATCAAGGTTCACCCTTTACCGTTCGGATGGCAGGGTCTGGGTCTGGCGTCTACCTGGAGAACGCCTCTTGCCAGCATGCATTGTGCCAACAGTCAAGTTCGGCGGAGGTGGAATTATGGTCTGGGGGTGTTTCTCCTGGTATGGGCTGAGACCCTTGGTCCCCATTCATGGTAAGCTCAACTCCGATGCCTACTGCACTATTTTGGATGACAATGTGCTTCCTACATTGTGGCAGTTTTACGGGTTGGACCCCTCTTACTTTCAGGACCACAATGCCAGTTGTCATGTTTCGACATAAACCAAGGCTCGGTATGGTGCCAATGGTGTTCATCGAATGGACTGGCCTGCCCAGAGTCCAGATCTGAACCCTATCGAGAACCTCTGGGATGAGTTGCATCGCCGAATTCAGGGGTGCACTACCCGTGCAAAATCGGTGAAGGAACTTCTATGTCTTCTCCAAGCCGAGTGGAAGAAAATACCACTAGCTGTCATACAAAGACTTGTGAAAAGTATGCCCCGGAAGGTCCACGCTGTAATTACCTCTTGTGGAGGCTCTACCAACTATTGATATTTAATATAGTTTTTCTTTTCTATCACAGGTGTCCGAATACTTATTGGTAGTCAGTGTATTTCTCAGTTTCTCTGCTAGGTCTTGCATTTACGGCTGTTGTGCAAGTAATAAGCCAGATATTCTTTACTTGTTCTTGTGATATTAAATTCTATTTCTCTATTTTTCTTTTCCCATTAGGTACTACAAGCTTAAAAAAAAATTAATTAAATTCTAACGCTAAGCTTTTTGAAAAGTCTTCTTTGGAAAGTGTGAAGATCCCTGTAGTGTTCTAATAGGGAAGGAAAACTTTTTTCACTTTATAAGGTCATTAAATGCTTCTCCAACAGACAAAGGGGCACACCGATGCCAACAGGCAGCTTGATTTGCGCAGCTGGGTCACACAGAAATCTTCAAAAATAATACGAGGATTAAAAACAAGTAACTGCACTGTATTACTTATATCTGCCGATTCATCACAATGAAGAGGGGAAAGAAAGACAAGAACATTTAGAAATATCGTTATATAACTGTACTTTTACATTCACACTCATCTTCTCAGTTCATTGCATCACAGTGTTTCGAGATAGTTGCAAATCTTGAATTGCTGAAATAATTTGTTTTGTTCTTAAAATCATTAAAAAGTATATCAGAACATTCCAAAAAAATTTCCTTCTAAAATTCACCATCAGAAAATGGTTTACTTTTTCTTTTGCTAAATGACAATATACTTTAAATGACGCCATAATTATAGTTTGAGACCATAATTACAGTTTGGGCGTACCCAACTGAAAGTATCAGACGAATTTGGAATTGTCCAGAGTGTCATCTCCAGGCTTTGGCAACGATTCGAAGATGATGGTAATGTGAGTAGACGTTACAGCACGGGTCGCCCCTGTGTTACAACGCTGAATGAGGACTGGTATTTGGCAGTTACTGCCAAAAGAAACAGGCGGAGCACAGCCTTAGACCTGTCTCGTCAGCTCTCTTCAGCAGAGCATGTACAGACGCTTAGGGCAGATTGGTCTATATGTTCGTAGACCTGTCAGATACGTTCCACTTATTGTAACTCACTGTCGCCTGCGGTTAGCCTGGAGTAGAGAGCATCATTGTGGACACCGCAACAGTGGGCTTGTGTGATGTTTTCCAACGAGTCCAGGTTTAGCTTGCAGTCTGATTCTCGCCAGACTTTCATATGGAGAGCTCCAGGTACCCGTTACTACCACGAAAACATCATTGAACGACACCGTTATGGTGGTGCAGAAGTGCTCGTTTGGGGTGGAATTATTCTGGGTTCCAGAACTGACCTACATGTTCAAATTGGAACCATGACAAGCCAAATCTATCGGGACGTCATTCTGGAACAACATGTACATTTGTTTCAGGGCGCCATGGGAGCACAATTTGTGTTTATGGATGACAACGCCGGTCCTCACCGTGCAAACATCGTAAGCGAATGCCTTCAATCGGAGGATATCACCCGTATGGACTGGCCAGCATTCTCACCGGACTTGAATCCAGTAGAGCACGTGTGGGACATACTTATCTGACGAGTTGCAGCCCGTCAACATCCTCCTACATGTCTACTAGAACTTCGGAGAGCATTGCGTTTTGAGTGGTGTAATATCCCCCAAGATCAGATCGATAATTTGATATTCAGCATGCCTAGGCATTGTACGGACTGTATTGCATCGTCTGGGAGACATACAATGTATTAACAATCATACTAACCATGTAATATTGGTTTTTTGTAAACAGGTTTTTTTTTTTTTTTTTTTTTTTTGTAATTTGCTCCAGGGAGAAAAAAATCGCTAATTTTTTTAATAATATCAAACATATAGCATCTTTTTTTGCTCTTTACCTTTTGTTTAATAAATAAGCTTTACAAATAAGTCAAATTTGTTTTGCTTCTAACTCTTCCTTTGCCTGATTTTGCATTATCCTTAATTTATGGACATGAGTGTATATATATATATGTATGTGTGTGTGTAAAATATAAAAAATATGATGGCTTTGCTGTACACAAACAGGCAACCTCTAATTAACTTTCCACAATTTTAGGATTCCCCCCCCCCAGATTAATACTTTCGAGAACATTCTGGCATGTTATGGAACCGCTAGTATAAATACTGAGTACGTGCCATTTTTTAGTCAGATTGCTTCCTACTATTGCTGCTACAAGACTCTGCGCTGCTCTGTCCATCTTTCTTCCCTTTCTTAGAATAATTATGACGCCAAAAGCCTACATTTCATCTTATTTAGTTTAAGACACTATTTAATATGTAATTTGGAGAATTCCATCTAAAAGAAAAATTATCTGCCATTTTAATTGAATAAATATGTGCAATTAAAAGCCAAATCCTTTTGTATCATCATTCTGCTGTATTTCACTCAGCCAAACAATGCCAGACTCTGATGCCAAGCTTCATCATCCTTGTGCCTATCCACAAAATCTATATATAGTCAAAAGTCTTTAATCCGGACTCGTTGGGACTTCGGCGATTCCGGATTATCGATTTTTCCGGATTATAATTTAAATTGCCATCTTACCAGATTTAAATTCCAATTCTGGATTACAATTTAAATCTGGTAAGATGGCATGCACGAATTATAAAATTAAAAATATGAAACCGTAATTTATGAAATAAAGAGCAATTATGATCTAAAAGGTATCAAAATTTACAAAAAAAAAAGCTTAATATTTATTTGTTTACTTTATTAAACATTTCTTTCAACGCGCACATGCGTAAAGCATACATTACGCCTAGTCGAAATTAGAAAAGTGCAACCAGAAAACTATTTGATGTGTATTCGTGATATTTATAATGACAAGGAATTTGATTTAAATCATATCAAAGACGGAATACATCGAGATGAAATGGTACATTTAGTAAGGAATTATAAGCGGAATAAAAAAAAACATATGCCCTGAAGATAAGGATAGTGCTGAGAGATCAACTTCCAGTTCATTGCGTGCTGCGACGTTCCCCCGCAGAGCAGCTTGAAATTGATACACAGATTTTGGAATGGTTAGAGAAACAAAGGATAGGCCTTTATCCATTGCAGCAATTCCATTTTTTGGTTGATAGACATCGAAACATGCTTCCACTTTGTAGATCCTTTGGCAGCTCCAGAATCGGAAATTCTTTTTGACATAATCGAAAGTTCAAGCTTACTTTTATAAAATTGCTCTAACAGTCTGCAAAAAATAATAAGCCAGATCCAATTAGAAGATTAAGGAACAATGCAATCTGCAACATTAACTGAAATAGATAATTAGATAATTTTTGCTTAGCTTATACCATCCGTTATACATTAAACGCACATGCGTCAACACATTATGCATTGACGCATGCACAGTAAGTTTGTAGCTTTGAGGTCCGGATTATAGATCATTCCGGATTATGGACGTCCGGATTAAAGACTTTTGACTGTATATGTTAAAAAAGGATGAATAAGAATGTTCGTAGTAAAAAATTTAACATAAGACACTACAATAAATTTAAAAAAAAAAGGAAAATACTATAATCATAAGCAGATAAAAATTGAAAATCAGCACGGTCTTTATGTTTATCACAATTAATAAATTTCGACCAATTCAATGATAATAAGCAATATGCTTCCTTGTTTGTTCCAAAAGCAAATGAATCCATCTCTATTTTGTCAAGAGTAAAACAGTAATACTAGGGTGAAAAATCTTGTGTATTGTCATCAAATCAGCATATATAAAAATATAATTTATTTTAATTTAACCGTCTGATTACTGAAGACTCTATCCTACGACAAAAGAAATTTTACACCAGGCGAAACAATAATTCACTGCTACATTAATCAAATTTATTTTAATTTAAATTAAAACTCCGGTAAATCAGCATGCTTCAGCAAACCTAGATGCCTAAAATGCTCAGGTGAGCATTTAACATACATATGTGAATTAAAAAGCAATGAGTCTTACCTGCTTTAGATGCCTGCAAAATCACACTTTGCATTTTCATTGATGTGTTAAGCTATCTCCTTTGATCAGACTCTGAATATTCACCAAACATCCAGATGCCCACAGGGCAAATCTTCAAAGGAAGGCTGAAATTATCAAAAAAAAAAAAAAAAAAAACTCTCCGAGTATCCCAGCCCTGAAAACCAAGAACCAAAAATGCAGTGTTGCGTGCATATGGATTCATAAACCATAAAGACAATGTACACAGAATCGATGATAGTTTTATTAAATTTATTTTATCAAAAGGAGCACTTCACAGTTCTGGAACTTTCCACAAAAACAGTCATACAACTCTTCACAGTATAACAGAGTGCAATCAGTAGTTATACTTTAAACTATTAAGAACGCTAAACATAATGCAATGCAAAGCGCATCTAAAGAGTGAAGCTAACCCGGAGAAACCTCATTACTCCAAACTCACAGCTACACAAAGGAACAATTATAGTTATTCAATTGCAATACCCATTATAGTTATACAGGAACCAGGCAAAATGTCTCCAAGTTTGGTGACACTTGGTGATTTCTCACCAAATTTTGTGACACAAACTAGTCGCCAAAACCATTGCTAGCTTGACGGTATCTCGCCAAATTAGTGAAATAGCCATTTACTCAATGTGAGAGTTATCCCTGTATTCTTACTTTTCCGAGAAGGTTTGTCTGTAGATTTTTCATCTTGCATTATACAGAAAAACAAAACAATTTCACGTATAACTGCACTAAATCATCTATCTGTGTACAAAGTTCATAACAGCAGGAACCATCCCGACAATTCTCCTCCTGCCGAAGACATAATCAAGTTGTTGATGAATAATGGTTGTACAGATGCTGCGTAATGTGATCGCAGTTAATGTCATCATTCAGATATTGCTATCAAATTACTGAAGTACCATCATTTGCATATCATACAGAAAATACATTGTTTATTGTGATCAATCATTTGGTTACTATGATCAAAATAATATAGTAATCTTACATATTATCCTATTGACCGTGAAAGTTACATCAAATGAACTGCAGATATTAGAATGTGTCTCTTATCCATAAATGACTCTAAATTATACTGTTTGGCAACACTTTTATAGTCATCGAATAATATGCAAACACCTATTAGAGAATAAATTTTTTTAACTGAATTAAAGTTGCCAAATAAGGTCAAATTAAAATTTAAAAATTGCTGAGTGACACAGAAATATTACCTAATACGGGACTAAGTCGGCAAAGCTACATTTTGATTTCATTCAACATTTCTAAATTAGGCATAAATGCAAATTTAGTATGATGTAGAGTTTAAATAACCCTATTGATTCTAAGGATGTGACAAAAGGGAAAAAATGCAAAATTTTTTGTTTTCTGAAAACATTTACATCAAACTAAGGTTACTTTTTTGCCTAATTTTAAATTTTATGGTGTCGTGTTCTCTTCCAATGAAGGAATATTTTCTTAATATTAACCCTGAGGGACAGCTTCAAAGAAATATATTCAAAAATGTTACAAACATTTCCTACGTAACTTCCGCATTTAGGATATTATAAACAGTTCATAACCATGGGGGACAGCATCAGAGAAATATTTTCAAAAACATTACAAACAGTTCATACATTAACTTTTGCATTAAAACTATTATAAACAGTTCATAAATAAAATTTTGAACTTCTCTAATTAAAATGCTGTGAAAGTATGTATTTGTATATTTTGAGTTATATTAAATTAGTTAACTTTCAATGCTATTTTAATTTTTTTCATTGTTTAATGCTATCAAAACAGTTGAGAACAAATCACATTAAATTGCAACCACTGTAGCTTTTGAATGCTTAAATTAGCAGAGGAATATATATTTGTTCTTCTAATAACCCTAAAAAAATCAGCTAGGGAATTTTAATTTATTCCTTTCTTAATGAAAATTCTATTAGAGACTGGTGACAGACAACAAATATTTTTTTTTTTTTTTTTTTTTTTTTTTTGTATAAAACAATACTAATATGATGTTCAAAAAATTAATTTATCAATAGTAACATGAATGTAGTTCTTAGATATACTTAAAAGAGTATTTAAAAGGTATTTTAATTTGCATATACTTAAATATTTGAAATAGTTTCTAAATTATCATAAATACAACAGAAAGATGTTTCTTACTTTATTTATCAACATATTATATTTCTGCCATTTATTTCTAGCACAATGTCATTTATTTAAAAAAACTCATTTAGAATAACAAGTAATACCTATTGAATTTTACATTTACATATTGCAGCTATTAAGATAATTTTTCATTGCTGCGAACATTTAATACATAAAGAGTTTTTATTAATATTTTCCATTTTTAGGTTTCAGACACTTAGCAGTAATAACAATCATAATCAAACCATAACAATATAGTGGAATGTTAAGAACAAAACATTGTTTTGCTGCCTTTAAATCAAAATAGAAGAATGTAAATTAATTACAGAATTTAGAAAGAATAAGTTCATACCCAATTTTAAATGTCCCTTTTAGAATAGAAACAACACTTTTTCCTCGTTGTACATGCCACAGAAACAAGGGCAACCACAAAACAATGGCAGTTGGACGCATCATAACACTTGCGCCAGCAAACCATAAATATCTGCTCTTGAAAAATAAAATAATTTAAAGAATGAAAAATTAGAAGTTAAACAATATAAACAAATATGAAATTAAGGTAAAATTAACATGCCAAGCAACTATTAATTTATCTCATTTATTGTACTATATCTTATCTCATTCATTTGCACCTTGGTAGTTGAAGATGTTGGTTCGGTAAAAACCTTCGAAACTAGTCCTGTGAAAATTTGCAAATATAACATTGATTTCTGTTGTTTGATTTCTAAATTAAGATATGTACATGTATGCTTAAATTTATCTTGCAAAAATCAGTTTTCAAACAAAAGAATTTCACCCTTTGCTATGAGATGTACTAAAAAACCCTGAAATTTTACATTTCTATCATCCATTTTTAATACCTAACTGTATATGATCAAAGAATTTTTTAATGATGAAATTAACTATGATATTCAAAAATACATAACAGAAATGATTCACACATTTTACAATAATATTTCAATATAACCTGTACGTACCTTTCTATTTCAACTCTCATATCTAGAATGGAGACTAATGAGACTGATGGAAGTTCTTAATTACTTTTTGTGTGCTCTAAATGGGTTTTTTCAACTACATCTTAATTCACTGGATTATCTGTTTAAAGGTAAACATTTTGATTTAAAATTTTTCACTGAAGTATTATGTTTTTTCAATTTCATTTTCTATTCCTTAATTATTATTTTAATTTTTCTAATTAGAATTTACTTTGTTTTCTCCTGGATTTTTGTAGAAGAGAGGTTTCAATAAATTTCAAAGTTCCTCTTTCCATTGATGAAGTGACACTGATGTTGATTGAATTTCTCTTCTGTTTTTGTTCATTTTTCATTAAATTTCACAAATTTTTTTAAGTGGGATTTTGCTTGTTTGAAATGTTTTGGTTTTAACATTTAAAAATTCTTTGTTGCATTTATATGATTATTTGAAATTTATTAATTATGAATTTCAATTTCTAGTCTTTGTGAAATATTAGTTCTAAATTTCTTACTTTATGTCTTTAATGACATATATATATTTATATTAAAAATTATATTATTCATATTAAAAATAAATTATTTTTTTAATATATATATACAGGTGGTTATCAAAATAATGGAAACACCTGTGAATAAAAGTGACATTTAAGGATGCATTTTGTAAGCAATAAAATATAATCCTAGCTACCGGTATTTTTTAATTATAAGAAGTATATATTAAAATAGTATGAGGTAGCTTTAATGAAGTTGTATACATCTTGGATTTTCGCCAGAAGCAAAAAATGTCAGACCTCATAGAGTTTCAAAGAGGCCAAATAGTAGGAGCTTGACTAGCTGTAGCAATTGTGACTGAAACATCCAAGCTATTAGGCGTTTCTAGAGATATGGTGTCTAAGCATACAGCGTGGCAAGACAATCTCAACAAAGCAAAATAGTGAACAGAAGAAAAAGCTGAGTGAAAGAGATCAACAGGTATTGAAGCAGATTGTAATGTCTAAAAAGAAAACAGCTGCAGCCAAAGTGACTGCAAAGCTCAATCAGCATCTGGATTCTCCAGTGTCAATAATTACAGTTATAAAGCACCTTCATAAACAGAATATTTACAGCAGAGCAGCAATTCCCAAGCCACTTGTCACATATGGTAATGCCAAAGTGGTGCCACAACCACAAAACTTTGTCGAATGATAAGTGGAAGACAGTTATATGATCACATGTATCATCTTTTCCACTTTTCCCTACAACAGGATGGGTGCACGTTTGAAGGACACCTGCACAAGTATATAATAGTGATTGTCTCCTTCCAACTACCAAGCATGGATGTGGATCCGTCATGGCATCAGCAGCTGTGCCGTAGTTTTCTGCTGGCCAAAATCACAACCCTGCAAGGGATCACTGGGGAAAAGTGTAGAGATGTTTTAGCTGACCAGGTCCATCCAATGATGCAAACATTTTTCCTGCAGGACATGGAACTTTCCAGGACAATAATGCTCCTATTCATGCAGCGAGATGTGTCCGATCATGGTTTGATGAACATGAGGATGAAGTGAAACATCTACCTTGGCCTGCACAGTCTTCCGACCTCAATACAATAGAGCCCTTATGGTCTGTTTTAGAGCATTCGATTCAGAATCGATATCCTCTACCAGCATCTCTCCTGGAACTTTCACAATAGCTCCATGAAGAATGGTACAATATACCTCTACACAATATTCAGCACTTTTATGATTCAATTCCCAGGTGAATCCAAGTTATATTAATGCCAAAGGTGGTCCTATGCCACATCAATAAAGAATTCCTTATAAATCTAGAATATTTCCATTATTCTGATAACCCCCTGTATATATTGATAAATAAGCAAATGTAAGGAAGAACTATTAAGAATCCCGCAACTAGGCTGTAATGATTTAATTAAAACATAATTAAAGAGGAATACTCCTATTAAAATTCTTATGCTTCAAATTAAATTAAGAAATCTAAGAAATTAAAAGAATTACAATTTGAAGTCTGAATTTATTCCAATTTACAAATTCGTAATTTTTAAGCTTTATTATTATTTTTTTAATTTTAAAAGGTTTAGAAAAATTTTTACAAGTATTAAATGGTAAAAGTTAAATTGGTATAGAAAAACAGCTTTGCTAGCAATGGCCAATAGTAGTGGATATGCATAAAATTTTCACAAAAATTTTTAATGATAATTAAAGCCTTATAAATAAATAAATATATATATATAGTATATATTATTTTTTTTTGTCGGAGAAGTTTCTGTAGGCAAGAGTTTATAAATTACTTTGGTTTTCTACTCTTATTTATTATTTTTTTTTATTTTAATTCTAGTCTTTTAATTGCTAATTTCTCAAAATTCCACTTGGTTAAATTTCTTTTTAGTAATTCACCACATTTGGTATTACTTTTGGTTTTGACTTTTACCCTTGTCTACATGGATGACGAAACACGAATTGAATGATTGAAGAGTTAGGTTTGGAGGCAACTTTCCCTTGATAAGTTTGTCTCCTGCCTGCTCAACAATCATTCACTTATGCATTTTTATAAATAAATTTTTTTAGGATTAAATAATTCTGGGAATTTTAATTTTATATTTATTCATGGATTTTGATACTTGCACTTGATTTGCATATGCTCTCAGAATTTAAATGATATTGTAGATTAGTTCGCAGCAATAATTAATCATTTATTTGTTTGCATTAAATTTCATTTAAATTTATTAACTTTAAAATTTGCTTTTTACGAATAGAGAATGTTTGTTAAATTCATATATGTATATATATATATATATATGATCTGTGACACTTGCTTAAAATATTACTCATAAATAGCAGAAAATATTAGGAAAGCACTCAGTCAATACAGTATCAGCATTCCAGAATTATAATCAATGAAATACATCTTACTTGCAAGCTTAAAGTTTCAAGGCCAACAATGAGAGGGGTAAATAACTACTTGTGATAGATCAAGATGGATAAATTACCAGTTATGATAGTCTTGGATGATGAGAGAATTAAATTATTAATTCTAATAAACCAAGCTTCATTCATATATGAAAGCTGTCCAGTAAAGACTGGAATCAGTAGTCCAAAAAATACATGCACTTAATCCTTCTGTCATGCTCAGGAAACTTTAATTTGAATAACCAAATCATACTATCAACGGCTTTCTTTGAAAAAATGTTTGAATTTTTTTTCCTTGCAAGTCTGTTCAAAATTAAAAACATCTATCCTCTATACCCCTCTTCCAGCTGTAGTATTAAAAAAAAAAAAAAAAAAAAAAAAAAAAAAGAAGAAGAAGAAAAAAAAAGAAACATAATTAAAAGATTACAACATAACCAAACCATAAACTTTATACCTTTCCTTAAAAGTAATCTTGCATGATGCTGGTAACATGTGCTCTCATATTATCTTTATAAAGCTTCCCTTGGTTTTCCCATAAGCTAAAAATACTTTTTTGAAATGTGAACCTTCACCAAAATTTTGTAACTGCACAAATACAGCAGCAATGAGAACACCTGGTTTCCCCCTACACTTCAAAGCTTTGAAAGTTATCTAAAAATTTTTCCAACCATCAAAAACATGAAAAATGTAGCATTGTAAAATATTCCATTTATCAGTTGAAACATTTTAGAAATTCTCATAGTTATTTTGCCAAAATAAAATCTAAACTGAATGCTATTATATTTTTTATAATCATTGGACACTTCCCAATATAAATTAAGGAATTCCAATGCAAATTGAGAAAAGTGTAAAATGGTCATCTTTCAAATGGAACAATTTTGTGATATTCTCTATTATTGGCCGTTCATTCTCCAAACATGCCAGCAATTCTACAGTATCATTTGCATTTTCTCACAGAAGATAGTATATGTCTTTATTGAACAACCTATATATGTATCCTGAAATCTGGAGAACTTTACAAACAGTATCTGAAATGCAAATTTTAAGATCTATAAATTAAATTATTTTCATATTGGTTTAAAAATCTCCAAATGTTGTCATGGAAAACAAGAGACTGAATATTATGATAATAGCAGAAAAAATCTATTTAAATCCCTTTCACAATACGAATGGTATGGGAACTTTTTTAATTTAGTTTGACTCAGGCAGTTTAGTAGGTGATTTTGATATAAAAGAAAACTTTTTAAGTTATAATTATTGTAATACTAAAATTACTAGACATAATTTATAAAACTTCTCAGGCTAATCTTTAGAATATGGTAACAGGTAGTTTGGCGACATTTTGGTAAGGCAATAAAGGTTACTAGCTAGGATGTTAGCAATAATCTGAGAAGTACACAGTTCCAGTCACACATTATTTTGTGGTGACTTTTATAATGGATAATTTAGAGGGAAAAGAAGATTAATGTAATTTCTTGCATATTTTATTTATTTTATACGTGCAAATGTTCATCCTTGGAAAGGGTATATGCAAGCTGAAGATATAAAAGCTTGCATAGTATACATACTTTTTAATGATCAGGTAATTTCATACATGTCTTTTTTACCGACTTCAAAGATTCACAACATTTTCCTGCATTTTCGTGCAAATTTTTCTATTTTATGAGAAAAATTATTTACATGTTTCATATATAAATTTGCTCTGTAAAAACAAATTTCTGTGCACGTTAGTTCCACTACTTTCTGGAAACTTCTGATCATGATTTTAGCTAATAAGCACTTAAAAACAATTTCGCACCTAATCTTCGTCATGATTAAGCACTTTTGTTCCCTAAAAGTTCTAGCATAAGCATTCGGCTAGCAGACTGTTGGAAAAAATGTTGAGTAAAAACAAAAACATGCCTTTACTTCGTAAAAACAAAATGGCGTCAAAAAAAAAAAAAAAACTAGCAGGTTGCTGTAGCAGGGTTGGTTGCCAAATTTTCGCCAAAAAATCGACGAGTTACAATAATTCGAAGATTCACCACTTCTCGTTATATATCACTTAAGAAATCTAGTAAATGTCATACTCTTTTTCAATTTAAAAAAGAAAAAAGAAAAGATCTTTGGCAGCATTTTTTTTTTTTTTTTTTTTTTTTCATAGTACTGTTATTTAAATTTTGACATGAATCTATGGCATAAATAAGAAAAAGTACAGTCTGAAAAGTAAAAAAATGAATTACCCCAATCCTTTATCCTTCTCCCAAGGATAAAAATATAATCCACATGCAGTAAGAGAAGCTTCAGCCATATTAGTCAAAGTTCTTGAAGAACTATAAAACAAAAACCATGATGCGAGAATGTTAAAGACAGTCCACATTCCACATCTCTGTCCAAAAAGTTCCGATGCAAGTTTATAAGTAAAAAAATCTCCTAGTGCAGATAACAGTGCTTGAAAAATCCTTGGTATATAAACCTGCCAATAAAGAAGATTAAGTTTTCTGGTTTTTACACTTAAATTCATCAATTTAAACATAAATATTAAAATTTGTCTAATTAACCCATAAGAACTCATTAAATTAATGATTTATTATTTCAATTTTGAATCAAATGTTATTTAGTGAGAATTCAGAGTAAAAAAAGTAAATACTTACTCTGACTAATAACGAATCTGGGAATATACTATACAGAATATGAAACAAAAGTGGGTAAACACAACTTCTAATTCCTTTGACCCACTCCCAGGTTAGATGACCATAACTAGAAGGTGGAAAAGGCAAAAATCAGAAAAAAAATTATATATTTTTTTCTGATAGTTTATACAAATGACAAATAAAAATTTTAATGCACAAATAGAAATTCATTACGTAGAAAAGAAAAGACAGTACTTATGTGTTAATAAACATGGCCCGGAATGAAAGTTCAGTACAGACAAAAGTCATTAATCCGGTCTCATCGGGACTTCTCGTCTCGTCGGCGATTCCGGATTATCGATTTTTCCGAATTATAGAACATCACTTTAAATCTGGTAAGATGGCATGCAGAAATTATAAAATTAAAAATATGAAACCGTAATTTATGAAATAAAGAACAATTATGATCTAAAGGGTATCAAAATTTACAAAAAAAAGCTTAATATTTATTTGTTTACTTTATTAAACATTTCTTTCAATGTAAGTTGTTTAAGTTGCTTCGTTTTATGTGATAATACTTTCTCTTTAATTCTATAAACAGACATAATTTCTTCTTCAGTTACAAATTTCCTCCGTTCAAGTCCTATAATTGCTGTGTCGAGAATACCGACTAATTTGTCAATCGAAATGTTTTCGTTTTCAATAACCTCTGTGTCACTTTCTTCACTATCGGAAGCTAATTATAATGACGAGGAACTTGATTTAAATCATATCAAATACGGAGTACATTGAGATGAAATACTACATTTAGTAAGGAATTATAAGCCAAATAAAATCGAAACATCTGCCCTGAAGATAAGGATAGTGCTGACGGATCAACTTCCAATTCATTGCGCACCCCCCCCCCAAAGAGCAGCGTGAAATTGATAAACAGATTTCGAAATGGTTAGAGAAACAAAGGATATGCCTTTATCCATTTCTTGCAGCAATTCCACTTTCTGTTGAATGGACTTCGAAACATACTTTCGCTTTGTAGATCCTTTACATATTGGTAAATAAATGTCGGAAATTCTATTTGACATAATCGAAAGTTCAAGCTTACTTTTATAAAATTGCTCTAACAGTCTGCAAAAAATAATAATCCGGATCCAATTCAAAGATTAAGGAACAACGCAATCTGCAACATTAACTGAATTAGGTAATTTTAGCTTATACCGTCCGTTATACATTAAACGCGCATACATAAACGTATTATGAGCATGCACACATGCATATTTGCAGCCGTAAAAGTCTTACGCGCATGCGCAGAAAATTTGTAGCTTTGAGAACCAGATTATAGATCATTCCGAATTATAGGTGTACGAATTAACGACTTTTGACTATAACACATATAAATAGTTTAATAATTTGTTGCAGTAAGCCTCAGTTAATCTGGACACTATTAATCTAAATTTTACCTAATCCACATAATTCTAGAAATATTAATGACTGTATAATTAAATCAGAAAACATCAAAACCTTATTGCTGGTCAATTTCTACAAAAAAAATTTCTCATAAATGAAGATGTCAGTCTTGAAATAATGAGGTGGCAGATTTTCATTAAGTAGTTCATAAAAGTCATCAAGATGATGGGAAAATGGCACTTGGATACTAGCACAATTACTTTAGTTAAAGTTAACAAATTTAAAATGTTCATATTCTGACTATTATGCTCATAAGAACACTTGAAGCAAACACATACATAAAAATTCTTTAGTTTTAACTTTGTATGCAGTCTTTTTGTTGGGCTTCTAAAGTCTAAAAGTTTTGTAGATAAATTATGATATATTTTATTTGAAACTCAGTTTTAAAATATGCATTTGTGGGATTTCTATGGGGGGAAAAAACTATGGTATAATGAATATCGAAAATATTCAGAAACCTCTTTGGCACAACTTTAGTATTAGTCCTTTTTGGTGAGAAATTTGTTTGGCGACATTTTGGAGCGATAAATGAAAAATTATGATAACCTTGGTAACCCTAAATAGAGCTTCAAACATGCCGCCATTTCTGTCCATGTAACTTTAACGAATTTCATAGGTATCAGAGCTTTGATGGCAGGAGGGATAAATTGTGTGTTTTTCTTAAAGTTACTTTTGTGTTCGGAAAGCACAACATTTAAAATATTTTTTAAAAAGGCAAATTTTTTATAGTTAAAACTGGTGCTTTTAATATTACATCACATGAGTCTTGACATTTTTTCATATGTCAACTCTGCATATTATTATAAACTCCACCCCCCCCCAAGGGAAAAAAAACACATTTTCAGTAGCAGGAGGTAAACTCTTGGTGTTTCCTTTGCTAAGGAGATTAAAATTACCATGGTCTAAAAATACTTATTTACCTCATATTAAGAACTATAGGGATGTGTAATTGCATGAATTCATAGATTCAAATCAGGACCAAAATCAGGTTTCATTATTGCTTTTATAACATTTTCATAATTTGTCTGACTATAAAAAATATAATGTTGCTTAGATTATGGAATATATTGCTTATAATTTAGAGTTCTCAAATTTTGTAAATCTTACAACCTAACAGCTGCATATGAATAACTTTCACTGAGTATTATTATTTTTATTAATAGTATGTTGACATAACAGTTGACTTTTTATTTTAAATTTTATGCAAATTTTCTACATTACTTAAACATTTTATCTAACAGAAATCTGAATTTTTTGTAATAAAAACTCTAAGTAAGAGTACAATTTATATATAAAAATTTGACTACATGGCAAGCACTTAGATACTGATTTCAATGTCTTTAAATGTTATTATCATAAAGTTTAGATATATTCTTATCAAGTTAAGATATACTTTTATTCTATTATAAAGTTTAGATGTACAGAACAGAAGGCACACTTTGTGCTTACGACTCAGTCAACCACTTGTGGCAAGATAACTTATCATAACAATTAAGTTCAAATGTAAAATTTAAATTCAAATAAATTTGTAGCCCAAAGGCTGCACAAATCAATTTAATGCAAAGTTGGTTAAAAACTTAACCGGCATGGAATTCAACTATCAGCAATTATAATGCAAGACTAAGACTACAAATCTTTTCTTATCTAGCAACCTAGTAATGTGGCCTCAAAAGGCAAAACACGGTTTGTTTTACAAAATAAAAATTTCATTTGGATTCTGGTGAGAAAACGGATGGAGGAAATTGACAGTAAAGATCCCAAGCATAAAATAACTCTGGTTACAAAATAAAGGAACGTTACAATATACTTTGTTTCCTGGTCGATTATTCAGTACATGAAATAGTGTAATGCATTTTTGTTTGCATCACATACAAATTATTTAGTTTATTTAAATGCCAAAACTGACAGGATTTTGCAAACATATTGACCATATTTTTCTACCTATAGATGCAACACTTCTTCTCTTCAGAAGTAAGATTTAGAATTAAGAAATAAGAAAATAAGAGAGAATTATGAATAGAAAATAAATACACATGCTGGCTAGCAGAAGAAGGATACCTTCATAAAGTACTTTTTAAGAGAAACTGGCTCAGATTCACATTACATCTACGGAAAACTACTAAAACTCCCATATAGCCAGCCTGAACTACCACTGTTCAGTGGCTATCACTCCACCACTAGTGGATTCCAATGACTGTTCGAATTTTTCACAAAATCATCATTTACGATGATTGTTGTATTATTACCATTGGTACAAAATTTACTCATTATGATAATTTAATTTTAGCTTTTAAATTATAATCATAAATTACTTGTAATAAATTGAGGGATTAAAAAATACACACTTCTTAATATTTTTACCATTTACAAAATTTGATCATAAAAAATATTTCTAACACTGGTACAAAACTTGCCCATTATAATTGAATTTGATTTCCTTCACTTTGAAATATTTTTTTATTATCTTTTAATAACAGAATCTAAGAAACTAAAGTAACATATACTAGTTTAAAATGCATTTATTAACCTTTTGTAAATTTCATTATTCATAAGCATAAAAATTAACCTTTTGTAAATTTAAAATATTATCTAAGTACTAATATAATAAATATAAATATGGACTAACTACTTAAAATATTAATGTTTAATACATTATATTTTGTAATTAAAAATATTAACATTTTGTAAATTTCATTACTCATAACATAATAATTGTCATAAATTCATTTACAGTAGTGTTTCAAGAATTTATCATAACAGTACTAGAAATGTTGATAATTAGAGAAAGACTGTTTATTCTGATTAAGAGCTTATTTTTTAGGATTGTTATTTAGTCTAGATCCGGTTTTGTTGACAATCCGCCATTTTTTTCCGATCTTCAAAACCGGGTCTACCTTGGCGACCGAAGTTTGTTGCCAAATAAAAAAATCGCCAAAAGGACCAATACTAAAGCTGTTCCAAATCTTTAAAATGAAAATTTAAGCAGATTCTAAACTCTTATTTCATCAATACCCCATTAAAGCTGGAAAATAAATGGTAAAATCCTAGTATACGGTGCAGCCTTGGCGTGATTTTGAAAATTATCGCCAACACCAAAAATGACCCAAAGTCTATGTATATACTATACACTATATACTATGTATAACTATATATATTCTTTGAATACCCGTTTAATACTCATCGTATATGCCCCGTTTTTACTGCTCATCATAAAAGTAGCCAAATCCCGTGTGCACCGGATACTAGGATTAAACCACATAAATATCTAACGTCAGATTTTTCCTCCGCATTTTCAAACGTTTTTGGGCAAAAGGCGGCTGTACATTAATGTTCAGCATCGCGAAATACTTTTACTCTAAATAAATAATATAATAAAAACAAAAATTTTAAAAATATACAAATACCAAAATGTCATTTTATGAGATACTTCCAGAGATTGCCAATATTCATCAGGAACGAAAGCAGATTGAACAATTAATACTCCTAACAATCGAACTAATAGGAAAATCAGAAGTATGCCAACATTAAGGCGGCCTAAAAACATCTCAAATTAGTTTTCTTCGCTCTAAGGCGGGAAGAATACAAACATTTATTTAATTTTATAACTAAATCAGAAAAAGTACTGTCTTGTATAAGACATAATTTTAATGATTTTTCCCCCAATAAGAATTTATTCCTTTTATTTCAAAGCAACTCAATGAGTGACTGAAAGAGAATTCAAAATTGTTTAACACAGAATTTTTCTAAAAACATTATTTGTTTAGTTTTGCTAGCGGTCTTGTTTTGCACTATAAAAAGTCTTTTTAGCCACTAGAAAGTTATAGGTTAAAAATTGCAGCAAATAAATATAAATTTATTTAACTGTGCTCAAATAAAGAGCTGAATGTTAATCTTCATACTATTATTCATAAACTATATTTTATATGTTACGAAATTTACAAGAAACATAATTTATAATCATCTACGATGTTTCAGTAAACTAAAAAATCTACATAAATAAACCTGATTCAAAATACCAACGAAGTAATTTTTATTGTCATGATGTGAAACACAAAGAGGTTCGCACTAAGGAGTTTCAAATATACCAAAGAGCCGCACAAGGTGTTCTAAACCAAGGTCCGTAGAAACAAGGAGGTTAGAATTGAAGGAGGGAGGGTTCGCAGTTTCCTCCACTATCGGGGAATGAAACTCCGCCGAACAAGCGGCGTCCATGTTTGTGACTTCTAAACATTGCATTACGGAAGTGACATGTACGTGTTTCTAAGCTGTTCCGTGCATTTATTTTCCAGTAAAAATATTTTAAATTTATAATGAAATCCCTCGCTATTGTTGAATTTTTGTTTTAAAGTAATAAAGATGATATCCATAATTTACTATGTACAGCAAATTATTAAGAAATAGTTCGAAATCTAAATGAATGCGTATAACATTAAAGTCTTTAAAAAAAAATGATTTTTCTGCATATTTCACGAATTTTCTTAGGTTAGAAAATAAATATTAATAAAATAAAACAGATTTATGTGAATTCATTGATTTCAGTTTATGCGCATTTCATATTTATTAATCTCAAAGAAACTGCCTTTAATTAAGTTGAATTACAGAAATACACCTATATAAGTTTTTGGATACATCTTTCCACGTGTTCAATTGTGTAAATATTTTACTTAATTTTATCACTATACTGCCCAGAAAGTTTATGCAAAAATTTTTAACAACAGAACAATTTATCTTAACTTAAAAAAATGAATAATAATTAATATATAAAGAAAAGCATTGCTTTATTTAACACCTTTACAATTAATAAAAATAGTAACAATTGATTCTTACTTTTCATGAGTTATAAAACGAATTAACTAAAACGTTCAAATTATACAATTTAAATCCTACCATATAGCATTGTATCTTAAGGAACGAAGATACCAGCTATAAACAGAAACATTAAAATGTATTTATATATTTTGATTATAGTTATATTAAATAACCTATTTTAAGTCCTTTTTTTTTTTCACATCTGGAAAGAAAACCACATGACATTGTGATATTTTTGACATAGTTGTCATATTACATAAAAAAAGAAAATTAATAGTTACGTGTGAAAAATAATGCCCGGAATTTTTTTCGAGAATCTATTTGTGCATTAATATGCAATACAAGCTGACATGCTTCAAAAAGAAAAGAAAAAAATGTTGCAATGACAGACTTCCTTGCACAAGTCACGGTGATAACAGGAAGATGACCGCCAAGCTTCACCGTTTGAGTTGAACCTTCCCTCCTTCTATTCTAACCTCCTTGCGTAGAAAGAACAGGTTAGCTCACTTGGAGTAAGGCTCCTAGTGAGCTAACCTGTTCTTTCTAGAGCCTTAACTTGGAGTAAACAAACGAAAAGCCAGCAACTCGTTCGGCTGTGACGTCACTGAAGTTCGCTGTAAGGAAATATTTTCTGTTTTTCATCGGAAAAGTAAAAATTCTAATATTTGGAGTTGAAACTTAACTACCTAAAATATTGTTTATTTTATAGAATAAGTTTTAATTACGAAAAGTTCCTCAGTAATTTATTGTTTCACCAAAAATCTTTTCCAAACTTCCTTACAGAATTTGCTATTCAAGATTCAGCTGTTTATACCGTTACTCATTTTAGCTTCAACAGACTGAAAACCCACATTTCACAAAGAACTGGAAAATATGTAGTGTAGTCAGAGCTTAAATTGTGCCGGCTCCGGTACTTTTCAGTTCATGGGATAAATGATAATTCTAGCCGGAGCGCATCAGAGCCCTACATAAGAAGGCTCCGGCACTTCTTTTATGTAATTAACGGAACTACAATTTCAGTAGAAATTAATCTCAAAAATTTTATTTTTAGCAGCAATAAAATTATATTAAAAAAAAAAAATCGCTTATTAAATGTTAATTTACCTCTTTACATTTTACTGAATTAGTTTAATGAATAATAATCAATTATTAATTAATGATTAGATAATAATTAATAATATTAATTGCTAATATTAATTAAATAATTATTTATTAATTATGATAATAATTAACTATTTAATTTTTAAATGATAAATGATTTTAACAGTCATTTTATTTATTTATTTACTCTTGATCCTCTTTACTAACGGTCTTCCATAGGTTTCCAGCACTTCTAATTTTAGAGTAGCGATATAGAAGAAATTGAAATTAAGAATATTTATTCTATAAAGCTGTACAAACTTGTCCCTAATGTTTGGAATCCAATTTGGCTGAAATTTAAATTAATTTTATTTTCCTAAAGCCTACTTTCGGTCCAATTGTTTCTGCAGTACTTGTTTCATTTAGAAAGCTTAGTTTTCTTTTTCTTTTTTTTTTTTTTTTTTTTTTTCAGATGAACTCGCATGAGCTTTTCCTGTAATATATGATTAATTTTAATAGATTAAAAAAAGGAAATTGCATAAAATTATAAGTCGCTAGATTCTAAAACTTGTTTGTAATTTCTTGATGTAAAGCAGCAACAAGAAACATAAACAAATGAACTATTCAAGCTATAACTGAAAGGAAGTGTAATACTTAATCAGCAGACTCTTTAAAATCTGCAGCTGCATTATGTAATTCTATATAAAAATTGAGACTTAATTTTAATTTAAATCTTAATTCTTTGAATTCTTTGAATTTTACTTTTTAGCAAAAATAAAAAATAAAAATTTCCAAAAGTATTCAGATAGAAGATGTTAACTTTTTATATAAAATAATGAGTAAAAGATATTAAAAGAATAGTTGCATATCCTCTATTATGTTTTGTTATTAATATTGTATATTTAGAATTTTATCTTTTAGGTTTCTATATTTATTTCACTTATGTATTGTTTTAATTTATAAAAATAATAACGAAATGAAACATGTAGTCATTTTCTGGATTGTCATCCTCATTTTTTATTTCAGAGAAGTAAATCTAGATATTAATAGGTGGTGTGGTGTGTGTGATTATGGCAAAGCCTCGAGGGCTATGCGCCTGAAGGGAGGGATGCCTTCGTGGAGGACTTTCTAAGGGAAACTGGCTCGTATACAAGTTACACATGGGGAAAACCACGAAAACGCCCATGCAGCCAGCCCGTTCGTGGGATTCGAACCTCGGACCGAACTACCAGTGTT